AACTACCATAACCGTCTCTATCATCACCACAACCACCATCCCTCCGTATCTACCATCACCACAACTACCACCACCACCTGTATCTCTTCCCAAATGAAGAATTGTTCAATGTTGCATCTCAAGTCATTCAGTATCACCTTGATTCAGAATGTTTGTATGCAGCGTAGTCTTTAAATAAAACTATTCATTGTATGTAGCGTTATTGTTTGCCTAGTCTCGATATGTTACATTTTGTCAAGAATTTCATTAAATATACACCTTCCCTCCTCTGACGACGTTTCATTGAACCTCTGGTCAAATGTAAATAAATTAGTGGCAGAAGTCTTTTATAGATAAGGTTCGAAACAGCAACCTTCACACCAGCATTCACCTGTTCATTGCCCGGAACGTTGATAATTAAGACACATGTGCAACACTTGGGTATATTGTGGAAAACTTTTTGCCACACAGTAGCTTCATTAGTCCAATAAATATAAAGCCAATGTGTGGCAAAACGTTTCCACAATAAAGACACCCAAGTGTTACACACGTGTCTAATTTATCAACTTGTCTGTTTTCTGAACCATTTATCTACATTGCCTCGAACCCCTGATGCTACATGACCCATAGAGGTTACACAGTGCCAGGGAAAGGGGAGGCATTCAGATTCGATCCAAGGAAAGGGAGGGCAGTTCCAATTCTTTGGATCAACAGCCCATCACCGGCATCAAGGCACTTCTCTAGAACGTAGAAGACCCGACACCCTCGGTACCAACCAGTGGCGGCTCGTAGCTAAAATTAGTGGAGGTCCTACTTCAAAAATTTTTTAGCCATTCTTAATGTGTAAAATTAAACAACCGAAAAAAAACTGAATTAAATAAAATAGCTGGAAACATGATAATCATCTAATTCTACACTTATTACATTCAAGAATATGGTACATGATTTTTAAACACAAACACACGTCGCGGAGTCAAAAAGAAACACTTGCACAACAGGGTCGGCACTGCGTCAGCGACAGTGCTCTCTCTACCTAGCGTGCAGCGTCTTACTCGGACGTGCGCATGCGCACAAGAGCCTAACACCGAGTCACTGGAACTGTGAAGCGCACAGTTCCAAACAAGGATTTTTGTAATTTTTTCATGTACTAGGAGATGGCTACTGACTTTAAACATAAGGATTATATAATGTACAAATTTCCAAATAGTGTCAGAAGTAAAAACTGGGTAATTTAAACGAAAAATGTTGGATAAGTACATGGGTGAGGGTGGCTGAACCTACCTAACAGGGCCCAGTTGTCCTACTGCAGTGTTGCTCCTCCATTCTTTTGTTACGGGTTCTAATAAGTTTATTCAGGTACAGTTACACATAAATGTAGTTGCATAGCAGCATATGTGTACATTATATAGGCTGTGGAAATTTATTTGGTCCAAATAGTTCCACAGCTCAGATCCAGCATGGCCGTTGGGTCGGCTGAGCCGGGCGGCCCTTAAACCCTCCCAAACAAAGCATTCTCTGGTTGGCGGTTGTTGGTAAGCTTATTTATTTATAGATTTACCCTTCAGGGAAGGAGTAGGTAGTTCTACTGATAGTATATTAATATTAGGTTCACTAAGGCATCTGTAGATAATGATAATGTAGACCTAAGACCTTAACATAGGTAGTAATAGGCCGAAAACGTAGGCAAACACTAGGATAAGTTAGCTAGGGAGAACTGGCAGCCCTAGCTTGAATGATGAGGCGAGGGTCTCAAGAACACAATAGCGTTCTTCTTACGACAGACACCATCAAGACAAGACGTGCCGTGAACAACAGACGGTGCCCCCATGTGTCTTCACATCTGAGACCTGGGGAAATCTGGTAGAGGCACCTCGATGTACCGTAGATGACCTCCTCCATCAGCCCATACAGTAAGACAAAACCTCCACCTTTTTCCTCGTAGATTCTGGCCAGTGTCTTGGGAGATTGTGGGTTGAGTTTAGCTGTGGGCCCGGCGTGCTACAGAGAGAGCATGCCCAGTAAGTACCAGTGTCTCAGAGCCGTCTGAAGCTAGTGTCTGAGTCTGCATAGTTATACTAGGGGATACATACCCTCTTGGATATAGGAATTTCTGAGGTGCAGGCAGGACACTAATTACGATTGAATATTGCAGGAATTAATGCTCCCGGTTGCACGTGGTTTCTGAGGGGGAGTCCAAAGGGGCTAAGGCTAGCTTGGGGAAGTGAAGATCAGGATATATGCTGTAACACCAAGTAAGTTAGTCCTTTATACGTGCATGCAGGCGAGGTTTCTTGCAATACCAATCATTTGTGAAAATCTGTCCTATAAGCCACTTGTGAGGCTGAGGTACCCACCTCAGAGCTCGGTGTCAACAGAGTTTGCCAGGGTAGGCGACTCACTTGGAGGCAGTCCACACAAATTTTCACATAGGCTAAGCCAAAAAAATCAGACACTGACTTATTTCCACTGGGGTCCTATAAGCGGAAGCGCAGAAAGCAGGAAGTCACAACTGATCTTTGTCAGACCACACTGAGCACTGTTACATCACTAGAAACTTAGAAAGAAATGTTAGTCATTTCGTATATTACAATTAATTCATATAGTTAATTTACACAATGCAGTATGAAATGCAATCACAAAAAAATATATATATCCCTGGAGTGTGCTCCGGGGGTCAACGCCCCCATGTCCCGATCCATTACCAGGACACTAAAATATTTAGACGAATTTACCCTCCTCAAAGGAGGTTTCTTGACGCTGGTGAGGGGCTCTTGATCTAGGGAATTGGATTCGTGCTCCAGTTACCTGAATTGAGCCTGAATGCTTTTCACCCCCCACAGGCGCTGTATAATCCCTACGGGTTTAGCGTTCCCCATGAAAGTAATAAGAATAATAATAATGACGAATTTCCCGTTTTATCCTTGGAACCTTCATCCTCATCATCACTAATCTTCCGGGCAGTTGGTCGGGGCGCCGTACATCAGCTCTCTCTACGTTGATGTTATTGACTCCGGTCGAGTTGAGTGGGTGTTTGCTTCTGCGGGAACACCTCCTGATGTAGTTGGGAACCTATTGTTTCCGTTTCTCTTCCCGGAGGAAACGTTGTTTTCTTTATAATTCCCGGCCAGATTTTTTTAGACCACAAAATTCTCCCGGGAAGTAAGGCTCAATAAGGCGTGAGCTCTGGTGGCCCTTAACAACGACAACAATAACAAACCATGTGCTTGTCCTGCGCCAACCATTGTCAGGTGTGGACGTTCTCTCTTGCCTGTGTATCGGTGACAAATTTCTACCGTTCTCTCCCCTCAAGGAAGGTTCCTTGATGTTGGTGAGGGGCTCTTGATTTAGGGAATTGGATCTGTGCTCCAGTTCCCCGAATTAAGCCTGAATGCCTTCCACATCCCCCCTCCAGGCGCTGTATAATCCTCCAGGTTTAGCGCTTCCCCCTTGATTATAATAATAATAATAATCTGGGACGCTTGTGCTGTATAGCCCTTGTGGCTTAGCGCTTCATTTTGATTATGATAATAATCTGGGACGCTTGTCCTTATCTATTTTACCCGCCAGGCACCCTACAGGAGGGGCACCCCAATGGACCCCAATGGAAATAAGTCACTCTGTCTGACTTTTTTGGGTTATCCTAGGTTCTCTACACATATGCTGCTATGTATGATGATTCTATGTAACTGTATTTGTGTATACCTGAATAAACTTACATACTTACACCTGTTCATCGACTTACTTTTAGCCAGCTCCATTTTTCCCGCTCTGCGGAAATTTTTTTAACGTGGGAGTGTGGACGTCCCTCTCAGCTGGTGCTTGGCAAGGTGGTCCACCGGATCTAATTGGAAACTTCAAGTTTCTATCTTTCATCGCCCAGCCTTGGGCAACAAATCTTCCTCGTACTGCCGAGAAACCAGGCTCGATACAGCTAATGCTGTCAGTGGTCCTGATAAACCCAACAACAATAACAAGTGCAATGTATTTCTTTGTGACTCTCTCCTATGAATATAATGATAATTCTTGCAGTTACTATCTAAAGAGTATAGTAAAGAGTGCTTCTGACCATCTTAGGGTGTAGATAAAGGTGAGAGATTGAGCGACAAAAGAGAAGAGGCTCTAAACCAGAAGGTGAAGCACTGTTCTTGCCTATTTGTGATAATAATAATAATAGTAATATAATAACTATCTTTATTTCTACAAGTACATGTACATGGTGTACAGGCCTAGCTGACATCAGTGGCATACTACTATATAGAAAGTTCCTTGTTATGCAGAGCATTTCGGGAAAATTAAATAAATATTGTCCCCAGGATGCGACCCACGACAGTTGTCTAACACCCGGGTACCTACAGTATTTTACTGATGGGTGAATATGGACAGCAGGTGCCTTAAGGAAACACGTCCTAATGTTTCCAGCCATACTGGGGATCGACCTCCAGACCTTAGTGTGTGAGCCGAGTGAGCTAGCAGTCAAGCTACAGATTGTAGTGGTCTTTATACGTAGCTAACACGAAATACCTAATGTTTCACACGTGCCAGGAATCATTCCTAGACCTTCAGTGTGTGAGCTGAGGATGCTACCAACCAAATTTCTTGGTGCTGGTAAGGGGCTCTTGATCCAAGGAATTAAACTTGTCCTCCCCTTTTCCTGGATCAAACCTGATTGCCTCCCAGTCTTCAGATGTTGTATGACCCATGTATGTGTAGCACTTACCCTAAATGTAATATAATTTTTAAGGTCACTGACTTTTTTTTGGGTTATCCTGGGTAATTTATGCTATGTATGATAATTGTACTTATGTGCACCTGTGCCTAAATAAACTTATTAAAGTTAACACATTGCTACAGAGTTAACTGTATGGAAAGTTTATCATCATGATAAGAGCAGTGGAGCACTGCAGCAGGTCTGCAGTATTGGTCCATACTAGACACATCAGATTCATCCCAACCATATCCACTCATGTTTCCATACTACTTGTTCTACCTATATTTAAAGCTACCCAAAGCTTGCCTCGGTAATGCTACTTGGGAGTTTGTTTTACTCATCTAAAACTCTATAACCCAACCATTACTTCCTAATATCTTTTCTAAATCTAAATTTGTCCATTGCTGTAAGTTCTGTGTTGGTTAGATATTTTCAGCACATTAGTTATATCCCCTTTATTTTTCCTCTTTTCCATCTGTACACCTCAGTCATATCTCCTTTAATTCTACGTCTTTCCAGAGAATGTACGTATGAACCCTGAGCTAAAATGCTTGCACTAATGGGCAAGGACATGCAGTGCAGTAGAAAACTTAAGGTACCCATTAATCCCTCCCTTTATGTGGGTTTGCTATATGCAAAGTCACTGTTAATTCCTGGGTACTATGTAAATTCACTTTTATTCAATCACTGCAATTCATTAAGCATAAGCAGTGGAAGGTGTGTTATGTGAGGAGGGTTCCCTTATGCAGTTATGAGATTTCAGTGTACACATATACACCATCCTGGTATCCATCTCCCACATGAAGCTAGGGACTTCACTTGTGTGCTACCACCCAGTGCATTTGTTATGTAGACTCTTAAAATGTATGCTGTGTATATTATGAGTCCATCTGAGAATGTTTAAAAGATTATTTTTTATAGGGTAGATCAGGTGAAGATGGAGGAGCTTCCTGGACAGTGTAACTACTTGGCTCTTGGTGCTGCTAGGATCCAGGAAATAAAATTGATCGTCACAAAGCTAGGTACAGTAATGTGCTTTAAGTTTATGACTGAAACATTGTTCCTATTTTAATAATCAGTGATCCCTGCAAATTTGTGGTACTGTACTTTAAAATTTGCGAATTTCAACTATTCAGCATATTGATTACTACATACATACATACAGCTTTTTTAAGTAGAAAATTGAAAAAAGAAAAACAAGTTTTATTTTAGATTGTGGCAAACCTTAAAACCCAGCAACTATCAGCTGCAAATAGTTTAAGATGTATTTTTATTTTTTGTTCTTAGTAAATTTTTTAAACAATAAAGTATGCAAAGAGATTTTCATGATATTTAGTTACTGGATTCACTGCAACCCAAAAAAAATTGTAACCCCACAAATTTGTAAGGAGCACTGAACAGTAGTTGCCATGATAAATGCTTATTTATTGTACATGCCCTTGACCCCAAGGTACTTTCTACATAAACATGTTGGAATGGAGTGTGTGGTAACAAATGATTCTTAAGATTTGTTTTCGAATGAAAGTAAGGTAATATCTGTGAATGGATTCAGGAAAATTAGTTAGGTGGGCTTGAATTCTAGAGGTGGGAAATACAGTGCATAGAGGTGGGAAATACAGTGCATACCTGCACTCTGGAGGACTTGTGCAGATGTGGTTCAGTAAATACTGTAATTTGAATTGTTATATAGGCAGTCATACAGTTCTCATAAAACAGCTAGCAAATGAGTGATTAGTGAATGCGTCTTTTTTCTTTGGGTCTCCCTGCCATAGTGGGATATGGTATGTAAAAAACATTACTAATATTTTAATGATAAAAATTATAGTTTTACCAAGCGAGTGTAAAACGGAAGTCTGTAATTGTTTTACATGATGGTAGGATTGCTGGTGTCTTTTCTGTCTCATATACAAGCAAGATTTCAGGTACGTCTTGCTACTTCTCTTTACACTTAGGTCATGCTACACGTGCATGTACAAGCATATATGTATATACACACCCCTCTGGGTTTTCTTCCATCTTCTTACTAGTTTTTGTTTCTCGTTTATTTCCGCTTATCTCCATGGAGAAGTGGAACAAAATTCTTCCTCCTTAAGCCATGCGTGTCATAAGAAGCGAGTAAAATGCCAGAAGCCAGGGGCTAGTAACCCCTTCTCCTGTATATATTACTAAATTTAAAAGGAGAAACTTTCGTTTTTCCTTTTGGGCCACCCTGCCTCAGTGGGATACGGCCAGTTTGTTGAAAGATGAAAAATTATGTAGTTTTCCATGCGTGTCGTAAGAGGCGACTAAAATGCTGGGAGGAAGTGGCTGTTAATACCTTCTGTATAAATTACTAAATTTAAAAAGAAAATCTTTTTTTCCTTTTAGGTCACCCTGCCTTGGTGGGATATGGCCGATGTGTTGAAAAAAATATATATATAGTTTTCCATTCTTTTCCACACTGTAAATGGGACATCACACTTGTTTTTTTATTTTTTTTTTTTATTATCACACCGGCCGATTCCCACCAAGGCAGGGTGGCCCGAAAAAGAAAAACTTTCACCATCATTCACTCCATCACTGTCTTGCCAGAAGGGTGCTTTACACTACAGTTTTTAAACTGCAACATTAACACCCCTCCTTCAGAGTGCAGGCACTGTACTTCCCATCTCCAGAACTCAAGTCCGGCCTGCCGGTTTCCCTGAATCCCTTTATAAATGTTACTTTGCTCACACTCCAACAGCACGTCAAGTATTAAAAACCATTTGTCTCCATTCACTCCTATCAAACACGCTCACGCATGCCTGCTGGAAGTCCAAGCCCCTCGCACACAAAACCTCCTTTACCCCCTCCCTCCAACCCTTCCTAGGCCGACCCCTACCCCGCCTTCCTTCCACTACAGACTGATACACTCTTGAAGTCATTCTGTTTCGCTCCATTCTCTCTACATGTCCGAACCACCTCAACAACCCTTCCTCAGCCCTCTGGACAACAGTTTTGGTAATCCCGCACCTCCTCCTAACTTCCAAACTACGAATTCTCTGCATTATATTCACACCACACATTGCCCTCAGACATGACATCTCCACTGCCTCCAGCCTTCTCCTCGCTGCAACATTCATCACCCACGCTTCACACCCATATAAGAGCGTTGGTAAAACTATACTCTCATACATTCCCCTCTTTGCCTCCAAGGACAAAGTTCTTTGTCTCCACAGACTCCTAAGTGCACCACTCACTCTTTTTTCCCTCATCAATTCTATGATTCACCTCATCTTTCATAGACCCATCCGCTGACACGTCCACTCCCAAATATCTGAATACGTTCACCTCCTCCATACTCTCTCCCTCCAATCTGATATTCAACTTTCATCACCTAATCTTTTTGTTATCCTCATAACCTTACTCTTTCCTGTATTCACCTTTAATTTTCTTCTTTTGCACACCCTACCAAATTCATCCACCAATCTCTGCAACTTCTCTTCAGAATCTCCCAAGAGCACAGTGTCATCAGCAAAGAGCAGCTGTGACAACTCCCACTTTGTGTGTGATTCTTTATCTTTTAACTCCACGCCTCTTGCCAAGACCCTCGCATTTACTTCTCTTACAACCCCATCTATAAATATATTAAACAACCACGGTGACATCACACATCCTTGTCTAAGGCCTACTTTTACTGGGAAAAAATTTCCCTCTTTCCTACATACTCTAACTTGAGCCTCAACTATCCTCGTAAAAACTCTTCACTGCTTTCAGTAACCTACCTCCTACACCATACACTTGCAACATCTGCCACATTGCCCCCCTATCCACCCTGTCATACGCCTTTTCCAAATCCATAAATGCCACAAAGACCTCTTTAGCCTTATCTAAATACTGTTCACTTATATGTTTCACTGTAAACACCTGGTCCACACACCCCCTACCTTTCCTAAAGCCTCCTTGTTCATCTGCTATCCTATTCTCCGTCTTACTCTTAATTCTTTCAATTATAACTCTACCATACACTTTACCAGGTACACTCAACAGACTTATCCCCCTATAATTTTTGCACTCTCTTGTGAAACCAGTTATTTAGTGTAGCAACATTATGGACAATTTCTCTGTTCTCTAGCTAGGATTGTGTTATGTCATTTTAGCTATCCATTCACTTAATATCCATGAATTAGCATACCTGACAAGAAAACATTTATTTTAAGTCTTTATTTCTCAGAGAAATGTGAGCATGGAGGTCGGGCCTTTCAAAATCTGCCACGTCACATGCAAAGAAGAACAGTGTCGTCAAATCCAAAGCGTTTGCCAAGATGCCTTCAGGAGAGACACATGAGAGAGGTAAAAATATTTCTGCCCATTCTGTAAGCCAAGCTAATTATAGTTTAACCTTAAGAAATTATAGGTGGCCTGTCTTGCATATACACTTGATGCTGGTGAAGAGCTCTTGATCTGAAAAATTTTAACTACCCTCTTCCATGTTTACCTCCTGTTTCCCAGGTGCTGAAGGTTAGTGCTTCACTGTGAATACAATAATGGGATGTCGAGTATTTTGTTGCCTTCTCATTTTTTTACTCGTAAAATTCGTCGACTCAGAGACACGTTTGTTTAAAATGTTTGATCCTCATACTACAGATCTCCATTTTGCCCAGTACTGTATGGCGTATGTTAACTTTCTTGCAGCTTTATAGGCACTGCTGACTAAATATACTGAATAGTATATTTATTTATAAACTTATTGTCCCTTTCTCAGTGGTGTGGAACCCTGAAATTCAGTTGTTAGGTTCTTGGAGACAGCATGAATCCTGAAGCCACAAATAATAGGATATTTTGTATATATACCTGAATTACTGATATTTTTCTTATTTTATTTTTACATGCCTTATTTCTTTAAGCTTTTATTGTCAACACTACCCAAAGTGAAAGCATCCTTTGTGTGTCATTATTTAAAAAAAAAAAAAACTATCTTCTAAAAAGGTAGTGAATCTTTTCTAAAGCCAATACTGTAATACCAGAAATGCAAAATTAAATGTAATACTTAGAGAATTTTGCAGGTGTGAAGGTAGAGGTCAGGGATCACTTATGCAACAGGAATTTTGCCCAGTTTGAAGCCTATCTAGGTTCAATTCCAGTGCTCAAACCAACACAGTTCCTGTCTATTTCACCAAACTGCCTTCTATACTATCCACTGAGTGCAAAAACTTCCCATCAGAATTACTTCATTAAGTGTACCAAGAAATCAGTAATTTGGCTAATTTTACACTATTTTCAACAAATTGCAATTTAAAAACATTATTTTTTAAAGAATTCAAAACAGATGCTTAAGCACTTAGGTATTCCAGCCATTAAAGCAATCTTTCCTCTGTTCATTAATCACATACTCAGGCCTCTCCTATGTAACACACAAAAATTGGACTTTTTCCCTCTTTCTCATCTAATAAATCATAATCAAGAGTGCTTGGTCATGATTTAGGCTGTCCCAATAATTGAAGCAGCATGGGTTTTATATCTGTACAATAAAACATTCACAAGACCCATATTATTTCCATGTTATGAGCAAGACTTAGGCTAACAGGAATTTATATCAGTAATTAAAATTATTCAAAGGTGAATCTTCTTTATTTGGTACATTAACAGTAATTGTACTGAACTACAGCAATTTTCATATGTGAAATGCAGTAATGGTATATTTATTTAATCTCTCTTGTAGGGTGGTGCTAATGTTAAACCAAGTCACCGTCCAAGAAGAAAATATCGTCGCCGACCATCCAATTTATTGGCAGAGTACAATCGGCGTCAGAAGGACTTTGTCTGGTTGGAAACTCATATATGGCATGCCAAACGCTTTCATATGAAGAGGCAGTGGGGCTATGCTCTCCCAGACACCCCAACTTGCAAAGGCTACAGGGCAACCCTTAGAGCAGCCAAAACGTCTTGCCTTCTCCAGGTAAGCAAACATCTACAAATGCTGCAAACACCAAGTGCTCTACTTCCTTGATATCTGACATGCAGGACTTACTCTGAGTTGAAACTCCTTGCAAATAAAAGGGCCTAAAATATGAAATAACCTATCAAAATACTCCAAGAGCTCTATATATCTTCCACCAGTCTCAAAATTATTGTTTAAAAATTGCCTCAGTTTGATGTACTCTGTATCAATTGCTTATCTTTGTCTGATATATTCAATGCAACCAGCTTATTATAACATAGCAACGTTCATATTCATATACTTTATCTTCTTCTTTCAACACACCGGCCGTATCCCACCGAGGCAGGGTGGCCCAAAAGGAAAAACGAAAGTTTCTCCTTTACATTTAGTAATATGTACAGGAGAAGAGGTTACTAGCCCCTTGCTCCCGGCATTTTAGTCGCCTCCTACAACACGCATGCCTTACGGAGGAAGAATTCTGTTCCACTTCCCCATGGAGGTAAGAGAAAATAAACAAGAACAAGAACTAGTAAGAAAACAGAAGAAAACCCAGAGGGGTGTGTATATATATGCTTGTACATGTATGTGTAGTGTGACCTAAGTGTAAGTAGAAGTAGCAAGGCGTACCTGAAACCTTGCATGTTTATGAGACAGAAAAATGGACACCAGCAATCCTACCATCATGTAAAACAATTACAGGCTTTCGTTTTACACTCACTTGGCAGGACGGTAGTACCTCCCTGGGCGGTTGCTGTTAACCAACCTACTACCTAGGTCATATACTTTATATCAGCACTATATTTCTGTATATAATAATGACCATAATCAGCATTGAACAATATTACATTATATGGCTACCTCATATTACCATTACTCTTTCATTTATATAGAGAATTGTGTCTTAAAATTTATATTACATCATTAATTAGCAGTGTTAACCTTTTTACTGTATCCCACATAGATTTACATTGTTGACACTAGTGTTGCTCTCATAGATCTACATTTTGATCACAGGGCCTTCAGATATACTGTATGATAAATGTTTGCCTAGACATGAGAGATAATGGGTCAAAGTGGGCAAAATCACCGATGCATAAATTGCTCCTAGACTGCCTGTGTAATTCCTTTAATTTTCCCTCAGATTTCCCATTTTTTGGTGTTATTTCAGATCATTTTTTTTTTTTTTTGGTTTGTTTGCTTTTGTTTGTTAAAAATCACAGCACTCTTAGCAATATTAATTTTTTGAGTCACAATACTCAAATGCTTTGCATAAACTGGGTTTTTCCCAAAAGTAAAACTTCGTACACTATTGTAATAATCTTGTTTTTTTTATTTGTTTGTTTCAAATCTGCAAATGATATAGGTTTCAAACCTGTAAAAGTGGTGTAGGCTTCAAGCCTGCAAGTAACATAAGTTTAAATAAGTAAGAAATTGATTGATAATAAATTCAAAATTAAAACAAATTAATGCCAAAAAACTGTTAACATGCACAATATTTCAGGCAGACAATAATAATGGTATTTTCTAATGAAAATAAAAATATGGCATTTAAGCGCAGAATACTAAATGGCTTCCTGTAAACAGCAGTATCTTATGGGTTAATCTTTTCAATAATTTTTAAAAATATCTTTTAATTCTGTAATATTTACATAATTTTATCTTATCTCTCTGTCAGGATGTGTCTTATTTGTGCTGCATAGAGCTGGAAGGGCCAAGTATGTCATTATTAGATGGTTTGTCGTGCATGATGCAACCGGATAGTTTGGCTTTGCTCAACACTTCACAGGTTCAGCATGGTCAGCAATGGATATCTGTAATGCTGTTTGAACCAGGAAGGTAAAACTATTTTTAATGTAAAAGGAATTTATGGTGGCACAGGTGCTATTTAAAGTACAGTTTACTTTTCCTGTAATTACAAGATTGAGCTGTTTTTGTTGGTTAATTCTTTCTTTCTTTCTTTCAACGTACTAGCCGTATCCCACCGAGGTGGGGTCGCCCAAAAGGAAAAACGAAAGTTTCTCCTTTCAAATATAGTAATACATATACAGAAGGGGTTACTAGCCCCTTGCTCCCGGCATTTTAGTCGCCTCTTACGACACACATGGCTTACGGAGGAAGAATTCTGTTCCACTTTCCCATGGAGTTTTTGTTGGTTAATGTAGTTCTTTGTTTTGTTAGCTGCTAATATGTTTTACTCTTTATGCAATACACATGCATACTCTTTTTTTTTTTGTGGGTTTTTCTATGATCAATTTGATAATATTTATATCTGATGTGTTAACTTAGTTATTGTTTTTTAACATGCTGGCCATCTCCCACCAAGGCAGAATGATTCCCCCCCCCCCCCCCCCAAAAAAAAAAAAATTTACCATCATTCACACTGTCTTTCCAGAGGCACGCAGATACGACAGTTTAAATGTCACTCTAAACAGCAAATGTCCCAAACCCCTCCTTTAACATGCAGGCATTGTACTTCCCACCTCCAGGACTCAAGTCCGGCTAACTGGTTTCCCTGAATCCCTTCACATTACCCTGCTCGCACTCCAGCAGCTCGTTAGGTCCCAAAAACCATTCATCTCCACTCCTACCTAACATGCTCACACATGCCTGATGTATGTCCAGGCCCCTTGCACACAAAACCTTTCTTTACCCCCTCCTTCCATCCTTTCCTATGACACCTTCCTTCCACTACAGACTTATACACCTATTTTGCTCCATCCTCTGTAAATGACCAAACTACCTCAACAACCCCTTCTCGGCCCTCTGATAATATTTTTAGTAATTCCACACCTAATTTCCACACTACAAATTCTCTGCACAATATTTATGCACAGTTGCTCTTGACATGACATCTCTGCTTCAGCCCCCTCTTTGCTTAACATTCAAAACCCTGTTTCACACCCTATATGAACGTTGGTACCGAAACCCTTCATGGATGACATTTTCATCTCCACAGATCTCAATGCCCCCACCCACCTTTTTTCCCTTCATAAGTTCTATGGTTTCCTCATCCTTCAAAAAACTCTTTCTTCTTTCTTCTTTAAAACACCCCGGGCCGTATCCCACCGAGGCGGGGGGGCCCCAAAAAGGGAAAAAACAAAGTTTCTCCTTTACTTTTAGTAATAATACGGGAAAAAGGGTTACTAGCTCCTTGCCCCCGGATTTTAGTCGCCTTTAAACAGCATGGTTTAGGGAGGAAGAATTCTTTTCCCCATTTCCCCAGGGAGGAAAGAGGAAATAAAAAAGAACAAGAACTAGAAAAAATAGAAGAAAACCCAAAGGGGGTGTGTTTATATATGCTTGTAATGTATTTTGTAGTGTGACCAAAGTGTAGTAGAAGTAGCAAGACATACCTGAAATCTTGCATGTGTAAGACAGATAAAAAAAGCACCGAAATCTTACCATCGTTAAAACAATTACAGGTTTCAGTTTTACACTCACTTGGCAGGCGGTAGTCCCTCCCTGGGGTTGCTGTCTACCAACCTACACCTACAAAACTCTCTTTTTTATATCAATTTAAAATTGCAATGAAAAAAAAAAATTTAAGCCATGACTTATTTTTGTCACATACGCAGTTTTATTTAACCCTTTGAGGGTGACGGCCCTTCAGAAATCGTTCTCGGGGTTTGGCCAAATTTCAAAAAAAAAAAATTATTTTTTTTTATAAAAAAATTTTTTTTTTTTTTTTAAACTTTTGGATAAAAAAAAAAATTTTACCATCAATACTTCCCGAGATATGGAGGCATGAATTTGCCAAAATTGAACACCATCTGGTAACATCGCCGCTGCGTCACCCGGTATTTTTCATTTACTTTTTTTGTCTATTTTAAATTTTCAATTTTTCTTTTTCTGAGTAATTTTAGGGCCCCTGAGGCCAACTTTATCAGTATTTTTAATTTATTTCTTTTTCAATATTACACAAAAAGGGCGAAAAAACCTTTTTCATTATTTTGTTTTAAAAAATATTTACACAAACAAACGATATGAAATGTTGTTTTTTATATTTTTCTATATTTTAATACACAATACAGTCCGGGGAATGTTTCTAAAGTTCTGCAGCCTGTGGAACTTTTAAAAACATGGTGTCATGCACAGTGTTTTTTACACCCCTCCACAAAAAAAGGTTCTCTGCTTTGTTGTGGGGTTTTTTTTGTTGTGAACAACGTAACACCTCTTCTGGCCTTTTTCTTAACAGTAGCGGCAATTTTACCAGGAAGTGATCACCAGCTTCGACGAGCGGGTAGTTGTGATAATTTGGTGGGGGGTCAATTTCAGGGCTTTTCCCTTTGGTATTTGAAATACTTTTTGTCTGATGACAGACAAACAGAATTCACCGTACCGTGGTTTGTTTTGGCCTTCTTATCATATTATAAGCATTAGCAGGAAAATCCCCAGAAGATGGAAAAGAGTTTGATGTCCCCTTTATAACCTTGCGAACACAATCAGCAAACCCAATCTGCTTTTCACATTTGTCCACTGAATGCTTGGTAAAGGGTAAAAATTCAAGCTGCGGGTTTTGAAGGGTTCATTGCTCTTCATGCGTTGCCACTGTCTCCATTTCATTGGGGTTTAACTGATAACAAAGTGTGACACCCGTTTGTCAGCCCCCGAAATCCCATATGTCATTGGCAAAAACCCCTGCACCTCACCCTCAGTGCCGGGCTAAAACCCTGGGCATATGTTTCCGATTTGCACGCACTGTGCCACACACATCTCATGTTCACTCACAAAAAACCTGAGTGAGGGTTGTGTACCAATTTATCTGTATATAATATATCCCCCTTAAACCAAGTATGGTTCTATCCTTGTTCAACCACATACCTGAGATGCCCAAATAACTTCCTGGTATTTTGCAAGTATAATTCCAGTGTACACAATAATATCCAATACCACCCCAACTGAAAATCCAAAGCACAAACAACTTTATACAAAGATTTCCTTGCTTGGTATGTATCTTAAAAAGAGATCTTCCTTTAAACAGAATCAAAGATCGTCAATTACAAGTTTCCCTGAAGGGATAAAAATGCGTACTGAATTTCTCTTTCAGATACCAAAACATTCCTAATCTTATATAACTGTCAGTTCTGTCAGGCCTGGTTTTGTCTGGAAGTGAAGCATATAACTTAGCACAAATCGTTCACTGGCATTAATCCTGAAACCTGGGTTTGCAATCAGGCGGTCTTTTTTTACAGTATACTTCACTTTGTGCTTATAACATGGGCTAAGCATTATTGTGGCAAAAAAAAGATACACTCAGCCACGTTGCCTCCTTCCAGGTGAGACGTGATTTTGGTGAAAAAGAAATGGTTTGCCATGGTGTTACTCTGTGTGTGTTGCTTTCCATAACAATACTTCCATCGGGGGGTTGTCAAAATATTTTATTATAATCAAAAAGAAGGTCGTCAAAGAAAAACTCAAAAACATTCCGTCATGGCATTGTTCCCAAGTTTTAAAAGATGGCCGTATTCCACTTTGGCTGCAACAAACGGGGGTGGGATTGGAAAAAAAATTGACAGTTTCCCTCCAATCCCGGGTGCGGTCTGGGGTGGGTATGGACAAACAGGTGGTTGGGAAAGTGGTTGTTGTGGGGCTGGTGTGGTGGGTGGGGGGGGTGGGGCCTTTGTTGTAGATTAGTGAGGCAGCGGCGTGGGTGGAGCAGGGCCCCACTGCGGTCCCTCACCCCCAGTACCCTACCACCCGCACTTTTTCCATCCAATTGCAACTTTCATCGTCATTTTCCTGTCTTTTCCCTGTTGTACACCCCACGGATGTACTCCAAATGCACTCCTTTCCCCCTTTGGGAATGATATGGCACACTACCAGAGCGCATATTCATCTATATACTGACGCTTCCGGGGGGAAATTGCACTTCACTTCATACTGGAACTAGTTTGAAGAGCTTGAGTTCATTTTCATATCACTATCAACGCATGCTTCATTGAGTCGGGGTTTTTGGGGGAAAAAATAGAAGTTTCCTCTTGGATTTTGGAAACTGACGTGAACAAGGGGCCCCAGCACCAGAGGGGAAAAAGCCTGAGGGTCGTCTGGGTTTTCTCGTATTACCGATTTTATGATCTTAGTTTCGGTCAAAACCTCACAAAACCTTGAAATCATCTTCACTGGCATTCCCCATTTGTATTAGAACTGTCAGGGGGGAACAAAAGTGCCCCAATTTCCCCCCCGGGAAGTGGGGCTTCTTCCCGCGAGGATGGTGGACATTGTTTATAAGAGGGCGTTCCCACAATGACCACGGGTCCCAGATTTTTTTCTATCGTGCACCCCGACCCACAGACCCTTTTCTCCCATCTGGTCCCAGCCTTTTCCCGCGAGATTTGACGGCTCTAAATTTATGCGTACTAGTATGTCAAAAACCCCTGCGCGTAAGCCTACTATCGTCCGAAACCCTAAAAGGGGTTAAGTTTTTTTTTAAATACATATTTTAATGAATCATAGCTACAAGGAGCAGTTAAAGGAGTTAAATGCTTAAATTTAAATGTAAATTTTCTGATTGATGAAAAGTGAGTAACCTTTGGACGAAAAAAAAAATACAGTTAGAAAACACAAAAGTTTTGGTTCTGTAATTTAGTTTTCAAAAAAGAAATAAACGATATTCTAGCCCATTTTATATTTATTTTTTAAATGGTTCTCACTTTTCATCAGTAAAATATAAACGCTTTAAGTTTATTTAATCCTAGCTTATCATCATTTTCCCCCTTCATTGAATGCACAAGCTTTGTCAGGTTATTGATTTACACCACATGAGTGGAAGTAGGATTTTTTTATGACATAAATATGTAGTTCGTATCATTTTTTTAATTTTAAAAATCTGTATTCATATTTGCAGACAGCCCCATTGTCTTGGCGATGTTGAATTCAAAGGGACCCAAAACTCCGAGATGTCAGAAAAACAATTGGTAATTCGAAAAAATCTGGATTTGGGTTCACCCTCTGCTCATGGACACGTTTTTAGAAGCTCTGGTACAAGTGTTTCAATTACAAAAAAAATTACAATTTGTCTAAAAAGCAACAACTCAAGAAACTGAGATGAAATGGATGGTACCAAGAATATTTAATGGATAAACTAATGAAGACAGTTGAAAGATAAGGAAAGGGGTTTGTGGACAGTAGAATCATGGAAAAAACCCTTTGTAATGAAAATGCACAAAATGAAATTATTTGTACAACATTAATGATAATCAGTGGCAGAAAAAAAAAAAAAAATGTTAAGATCAAAAGGGGGAAAAAAGGATGAAAAACGGAAATGTTTATATCTAAAAATTGGAAAAGAAATACCCACATGAACGAAACCTAAATATGCGTCTTCTGATAAATTTAAATTTCAATGGGCTTGCTTAAGGACATCTGAATAGGTTTCGGCCCCTGGGCCCCGGGCCTCCTGTCTTTAAAGGCGCTTTCACCCTGCCAAAATAAAGCCTGAACCTGAAACAATATAATAGTTCATGTGATAAAAAGTAATGTTCCCCCCAGTTGTGGTGGGACAATATTATCATAATGAAGAAGGGTAAGGGGCCACCACCCGCAAGTCAGTGCGGAAAAAGTTGGCCTCGTCTCGCCTTTTTCGCGAGTTGCCTGCCAATAACAATTCGAGACCCTCGAGGCGTTACCTCTAAGAAGGGCTTTTTTGTACTCTCACTGTGGTAAGTGCCTGTAAATACAATTTTTTATGCCCTTTGTTCAACAAAAACAGCTTGAGGAATGTGTTTCTGTTGTTTTTTTTTGACAATTTGATTTTTAAGTAGGGGTGTGGCAAAAATACAGTTCATATTGGTGGGTATTGCATAGTTTTGAGAGTATCGATATTTGGTAAATTTTAATATATCGTGTGTTTGGTTAATTGATGGTATTAGCCTAAAAAAAAGTGGTTCTGCAGCAAAGGTTTGGCATCATCTCATTGTTATTTTTGGGATTTCAAGCCTGCACATTAATACCAGGTGGGTTGACTTTGGGAAAACATTTGAATCCCATAAGCTCAGTGGTTAGTTATTTTTGTACATCAGAGTTATTAAAAAAAAAAAAAAAGGGAATATCTCTAAATGTTAAATTGGGTTTAAAAGGGGGAAAAGAGAACATTTTGAGTGAAAACCTTTTGGGATTTGTCCTCCCTTCAAATTCATGGGCTTCCATATTCATTTATTTTGATTACCAGCAGTTTTAGCTTTTTTTGCAGCCCGTGAATGGATTCTTTATCCAAATTTATTTTTTCTTGGTTGAATGTTTTCCCCCCACTCAATTCTTATTTGGGCTTTAATTTTTTGTAAAAAAGTTTAACCAATGGTGATTTTTTTTGAGAATGGTTTCCGATACAGTTGAAACAAAATTTGTCATTTATACAAAGATGCTTTTGCTTTTAGTTTCTACATTTTTCGGACTGAAAAAAAATAAACCCCCTTTTTAAAAAATTTTTGGGGGGACACTTATTAATCAAATCACCTGGATTTGAAACTTTTGGTGTCCAGAGTTTTTAAGTTAAAGCTGACAACCATAATACATTTTGTTGCAGAAAGTGCTAATGCTCCCATTGGTGTGGCAGTAGAGCAAAAATTTGAGTTATGTATTTTATTTTTTTTTTTTTTATTAAAATCATAACCCAAATGCTAAAAACCCATAAGGATCACACAGACTGCAAAATAGGTTCAGTTGCTAAAAAGGGTAAAATTTCCAGATCAAAAGGGTCGGCAAGGTGAAAAGTAAAAACAGAAGTAATTAGGAAAGGGGGATGAAGAGGCTAAAGGGAATACGTATAATTTAAAATTGGTTATTTTTGTTGATTAAATTTTATATGTATGTTTTACTTCTGCACCTGTGAACTCTGAGTGGCGGGGGATAGAGTAAAAGCTCATTTGACTCTTTTTTAAAAAGTGATATCAAATGTATTTCCTCCGTTATGTCCTTATGTTGGTGGGTAACAACAAAAAGTGATAGACAAAATTTTTGAAAACAAATTTTATTTTTTCTTTAGAAAAAAAAAAAAAAAATTCCCTTAAAAAAATTTTTTGCCTTGGATCTGCCGCCCTTTTTTGCGCTGTTTCCAGTGCCCAGTTGTTGAACTTTCCCGCAAAACTAGAGTTTATCTGTTCATTTATGGAGTGAGGAAGGGGTGTGTTAGACTTTACATGCTGCTACAATGTCTAAAACACTACCCCCACTGCAACCTTCTCACTCAAAAAATGCTTCTCTCACAAAAACCCATAAAATTATATCTTTTCTTTTGTTGTTTCTCTTTTAAATGCATTTAATTTTTAACCACCACCACTTTCAGCCAGCGACACCCCCAGACCTCTGTCTCTTCCTTCTCTTTTTCCCCCTTTCCACTTTTTGAATAAATATATTTTTAAAATTTTTTGGGGTGACAAATAATTAACAATGGGATGTTAATATCGAGTTATTTATAGTGAAATTGTGTATAGTGAAATTATGGTATTTTTTTCAAATTATTCCAGATTATTTGAAAGCATTGAGATCCAGATGGCCCGTAGTCAGCCCCCCCTATGACAGAGGGCTAAGGGAATCATAACACAACTAAAGAACCCGATTCCCTCATCAAAACGTCGTCACAAATTAGTACCTGGATCAATTGCCCGAAATCCCGAAGAGAACCGGCTACCGATTCTTTTGTTTTCGAGACCCCCACCTTCAGAAAAACATGGACTGCATTGTTTTTTTGTTGTTTGTAAAATTCCATGTATGAAGAATACCCTTTTTTTAGGAAGTTTACATTGTTTTTTTTGAGACCCCCCCTGAAAGATGTGACAATTATTCCATACCCAAAACTTTGGGCATTTTTCCCCCTGACTGTGTGGCAGGGGGGGGGGGGACCCCAATTTTGGTCCTTTACGTAGCAAAAGGATTTTAGCCCCCCTTCCCCGATGCTAACCACCTTTTTGTTTCAGTGGGGTTTGGCCCCATTCTGTGTTAGCTTGTTTTTAGCTATTTAAAAAGGTCTTGAGGATGTCTCTCCCCAAAAGAGAACGCGCAGTAAAGATTTTAAAATTTGGTAAGTTTAGATTTAGAAAGGGGCATAGGGAAATATTGGTTTGGAAATAGGGTATTTTAAGAGTGGAACGTCTACCTGTTGGGTTATTGAGGCTGGGGCTTTGGGTAGTTTCAAATCTAGGTTGGAAATACATGAGTGGGAGGGGTTGGATTTAGTGGGGCTTTACATCAGAGCTTTTTCTTGGGTGGCATTTAAAATTTGGGTGGGCAAATGTTTTGTTATGGGGTGAATTGTAAAGGACCTGCCTAGTATGGGGCCGCGGCCCCCTGCAGTGTTCCTCCCTTTTTTTTTATGTTCTTATGTTCTTATTTTAGCATTGGATTTTTAGCTTCCTGACACTGTCACCTTATTGGGGGATTAGGTTTATCCCCCTTTCCCGGGTCTTTTTAAAGGAGGATGAGCCCCCAGTTTAATCAACTTTCCATTGTGGCGGGGATTATGAATAAGAAAAACCCGAAAAAATAAACCCATTTTTTTGCCAAAAAGTGAGGAAAATTTTTCCTTTTTGCCAAAAATTTTTGGGGATTTATGCTTAAGACTGAAAAAATTATATGTGTATAGATTTAACCAAAGATTAAAGGAATTAAAAAAAAAATACCAAAAACCCTTTTAACCCTTTCAGGGGGCCGTCCCGAGTTAGGCTTTACGTTCAGGTCCAAACCCTAGACTACGCCATGAGCTCAGCTCATGAAAACGTGGTGGTCATTTGGGCCAATATGAGAGAATACATCTATGTGGTATTGTGCACCACATAAAACAGATCCTGAGCACACTGTGATAATGAAGAAAAAAATGAAATCTGATTTTTCGATAAACAGCAACTTTGCAGTTTTTTTTTCGTATGTTTTTTATAGTTGTATTTGCGTTTTTTTGGGTCCATTTGATAGAATGGAAGACATATTACAAAAAATAGAGATATTTTGATTGGGTTTTTTTAGCACGGGAAATGGCTTGAAATGACTCAAAGTAGCAAAATGAAAATTTTTTCCCGATATTCAAGAGTAAACAAAGCCCTCACCGTCTAATACACTTCAGGGGTGGGTTATATACATTCACAAATATGGTGATGATTTTTATACAATTATTACAGTATTGCATAACAGTAAACTTTCTTTTTTTTTGGTGTGAATAAAAATTCATTATGTGAAAAAAAAATAAAAATGGAATTTTTTTGAAAGCCCAAAACAAACAATAAACAGGGGAAAATGTTAGTTTAGTGCCAGGAATCCCTCATTGCTTTTGGACCCTATTTTGAAATTGGAATATTTGAACTTTGTTTTAAATTTGGGCCCAAAATTTAAAAATTTTCCGATCACTTTATTTTTTTGTTGAAACGTTGTTGGGCATTTCTTGTGCCAACGATAGAATAGAAATAAAAAACTATGAATAGCTAAAAATTTGGTTTTATTGGAATAATTTTAAATTTGGGCCCAAAAAAGGGAGTCAAGTTGGCAAAAAAACGCCGATTCGTAAATTTCCCCGACCATCAAAATTCGGAGAGCTAATTTCGTCATTTTTTCCCCCAAATTTTTACTTTTTTTTTTCTTACCTTCACAAAATGATTCTCTACGATTTTATAAAAAAAAATAACAATTTTTTTTTTTTAAATTCTTGGACTGGTCCAGACCGGGGCCCCGGGGGGGTTGACCCCCGAAACTCTCTCCAGGTAAAAATCCAGGAAAAAACTGGTGCGTGACTCCAGATTTGGGCCTTGGACCCCGAAAGGGGTTTTCAATTGGCCTCTCCCACCGAGGCGGGTGACCCAAAAAAAAAGAAAATCCCCCAAAAAGAAAATACTTTTTATTCATTCAACACTTTCACCTCACTTCACAAAAATCACTGTTTTTTTTCAGAGGTGTCAGAACACAACAGTTTAGAAGCTTATGTATAAAAATATAC